GCCTGTCCAGGTCTCGTTGGATGGCAACACAATATAAGGATAAGGAACCATAAGGATAATAGCAGCACAATATAAGATAAGGAAGGTGTAATTACAGACAGAGTTAGGTTTGTTGAGAGGGGGATGGATGGTGACTCAAGTGTTCAGGAGGAAAGATACCACCAGGGAAAGATTACTAAGTGGGAATAATCAGCAGATGGCAACTCAGCACATCACAGGTCCATCCTGGGGTCAACCCTTCCCCTGCCAACCGCGCGGCCACCAAGTAGCATGGGGAGCACACCAAGGCTTAGCCTAGTAGCTAGTTATATCCTGAGCCCTTTTTGTGTGTTAACCAAAGGAGTTAGTTTGATATAACTTGTTTGCAGACTCTTTGAACACAGAAAAAGAAACAGGAATGGGACCACACAGAAGCAGAGAGTAACACCCTGAAATAAAGCAGGGATCATGGTTGTCTTTGATGGGCTCCACAGCTCACTGGCTTGTTCTCCAAGCACAGCATCTCACCTTAAGGCAGCAGGAAGCAAGACACACAACCTCTTGTAGCAGCAGGTTACCACTCCACCAGCAGCTTTGCTCCCCAGCACAACACACCAGCACAACACACAGCTGCATTTCAGCTGATGTACCCACGGGCTGATACCCTAACAGGATTTGTGCTCAGACACTGGGCTGGGAATCGCAGTGGCAGAGATGCACCTTCACATCTCAGTGTCAGCTCTGCAAGTAATTTTTCCTCACACTGAAAAGAACAGGTTCCCATCACAGCATTTCCTCAGTAAACAAGTCACAGTTAACCAGTAACTACATCCAACACACCTCCCTGGTTTTTCTGGGACAGGTTCTCCAATAGCTCATATTTTACTCTCCCTCTAACTAAACCCCACAGATTCAAATCCAACAGGTTAATATTTTAATTCCACTGCTCAGTGACAAAGACCTGACAGTTCTACACTCGCTGTAACAGCAGTACCTTTGCTTTCTTCATGTGGTTCATGATATTGCCAAGATCTTCAACATCAATGACGGAATTTGTGCCTCCAGCTTCCTCAGCATCAGCCTCCTCCTCACTACTGGTTTCAAACAATTCCACTGCCTGTGTGAGAGATCAAAGGGAAAAAAAAATTCAGGAATGGAGCTGAATGTTAAACATAAGACTCAAAGTCTTATGCTAACCAGTGAAATCAGCTCTCACAACCAGTAAAGACCACTGAAAAACAAGGAACAGTCTACCAGTAAGCTGTATATCATATATGAGATGCATTTAAACGTGGTGTTTTTATCAGTGTGTAGAAAAAAAAAAGAGCTCAGTAGCACACAAAACACCCAAAACTCAGTCCAGGTGTCCTGCCTCCAGATTGCTGTTTTCCTCATGTGCCCATCTGATGTGACACAGGAGTCCAACACCCACTCCATACTATCATCATCTGGAAGCCTGAACCCCTGAAACTCTTCCAAGTGCCCCTGTCTGAGTGAACAGGGAGTGAGAGATCTGCTTTCCAAGTCAAACTCTTCACAGAGCAGTAAAAAGTCGTCCCCTTTCAGCACAACAGCATTCCTGTAACAGCAAGATTCGTTCCTCCTGTTCCTGCAGCAGCCAGCACTCTCACTCAGCCAGGAGAGCCCCTATTTTCCTACAAAATTCAACATGGCCATAGCAAGCATTTCAAATCCACAACAAATGACTTGCAAGGAAGATTAAGGTGCCAGAGCAGCTCTGGGTCTTGCACTGTAGAACAAGAGAGAGGATTTCTTACTGAAAACCTGCAATCCAACATTCCAAAAGACACACAGATGATTACAGGCAGACACATTCAGAGGAGATACAGGACTTGCTCAAGATAACACTCCCCCAACTGCCTTTGGAAAAATCTTGGGATGCAGGCAAAGCACCAAGCTTCAACGAGGTGAACTGACAGCAGATTAACTGCTCACAGGGCCATGAGACAAAGCAAAGACTGACAAGAACCCAGAGCAGCTCCCTGGAGCATTTGTCACAGCACATGCCTGCTCCTATTCAAGGGGAAGATCCCTTATCACAGAGATGCCATCTAGCCTAGGCCCAGCACTAATTCTTTGGTCCTTCTTTTTGGAAGGATTATTCTACCCATTACCCAACCATTGAATCTCATCCCTCTTCCCTCTCCATTCCATAACAAAGTATTAAGCTCCCACAGCACCCCTCTGGACTGTAGGAGGAAGAAGATAAGTCAAATAATGCTCCAAAGGGCACTAAACCAGACATAAGGTCCCATGGATTTTGGCTCTACCTCAGTATTCTCATATTCTGATGCCCCATGTTCGTGATTGGAGCTCTCCTTGCTCTGCTTCCCTGGAGATTTGCACTTCCCTTTCTTGCACTTCCCACTGCAGGGTTTCTTTTCCCCTCTGCAGAGTAACTGGAGTCGACTGAGGAACTTGGCTTTCCAGGCTTCAAAGTCAGCCTCGATGCTGCCACGCTTGCTCTGGGCCACGTTGCAGTCCCCCTCGGCACGAGTCATGATACGGCTGGCACCGAGCATCCACAGCCACCTGTCAATACTTCTTCCAACCTAAGACAGGATGAAAGTGAAAGGGAAATTAAATGAAGCCCAAGTTAAACAAAGCAGGCAAATAAGAAAACAAGGACCAAGCCTGGAAACAGAGCTAGTGAGCTGCACGGCAGGGATTTCTGGACTCCCTCTCACCTGTGGATTCAGAGCACAGCCACAGAGAAGACTGAACAGCACCACACACCCTCATTTCTGCTATCACTCTGATGCAGTAAGAGACGAGCTCCAGAAACAAGCTGCTTGGCACATGTGGACATTTTGACCAACAAGCATCACACAATTGTTGTGGCTGCTCCTCCCTGGAAGTGTTGAAGGCCAGGCTGGATGAGGCTTTGAGCAACCTGGTCTAGTGGAAGGTGTCCCTGCTGATGGCAGGGGGGTTGGGACTGGGTGAGCTTTAAGGTCCCTTCCAACCCAAACCAGTCTGGGATTCTGTGATTCTATGAATTTTTCACATGGCCCTGGCTATACAAATGTAACAAGCCAGTGACAAGGGGGTTGGAACTAGATGATCTGTAAGGTCCCTTCCAACCCAAACCATTCTATGATAAGTCATACTGCCATATTTATATCAGGAAAGAAAGCAGATCTACAGAATACAGCAAAGTACAAAAGATGTTGAGTTTAAAAGGGAAAGACTCTCTTAAGAGAACGCTTACATGTAAATGATATTGATTAAAAGAAGTATTACGGTTCAGATAAAAAATTAGAGACAGGTGCTATGAAATAATAATAATAATTCTTATAAACCTCACAACCACGCTGCTTCTCACTTTGTCCCTTGTACAGTCCTCTCCATGGCTGGTTTAAACCAAATCCAGCTGAATCAAGAATAATAGAATTTAGAGATTTAGCAATTACAGAGGAGAAATGATTAACTTGGAGTAAGCAAATTGGGAAAGATTCCAGATTTTAAAACAGACAGAAGTTCAACGTCATTATGTAAGTTGTTCTTAGAAGTGCAAAGGTGAGCAGCCAGGAAGGTGATTCAAGATCAGTGAATACAGTGACCAGAGTGGGACCAGTGGGCTTCAACTTCTGAAGAGACAAGAAGAATCATCTGCATTTGAAGATCACTGTGGACTTTTAGAGAATTTTAGATGAATGAGAAATTTGGAACGGAGGGTTCGTGGGAAAACTTCAAGAAACTCTGAAAAGCATATCTATTGCATCATGTTCAATTTAGCAGATATAGTGAGCTTGATGTTTGCAACGCCTTGGCCACTCACTGAGGTGATGGCCCAACTCTGAGTTGTCAATAAAGCAAACCTAGAGTTACCCACGACTGAGTTAAATTCCTTTAACACTGAGAAAAGCACTTTGAACTGAAACACAGCAAGTGAGAGGGTTACAGCACCGCGCCCTCCTGCACTGAAAGCTTTCAGAGCTAGGAAATTAACTCAGTAAGGATTTACCAAATGTGTTACCACACCTCCCAGACTAATGCAGTGTTTATGGGACTCCTTTCCCATTTAAAAGGGCAGCTTCAAAACTACACTGCCTGTGCCCTAGACCCAGTCCCTACCCAAAACCACACACCAGCTGCAGCTCACACCAACCACCAGCATCATTCAGTTTTGTAGCATTCAGGGAAGCTTAGCCCTTCAGAGGAGCAGGAATCAAGGCAAGGTGCATGGTAGGTACTTACTGTGTTGTAATGATCAACATAAACCGAGTTTCCCAAGCCAAACACAGCATATCTCAGGCCTTTCAGATACGTTTTCCCAAAGCGAAAGTCATTCGCTGCCTCTTCTACCCACTTGCAGAACCAGGCTGCACTCTCGGTTGGCTGTCCATCTGTGTACGTAGCTACCAGGAACACACAAATGTTCCTGCTGGTTGTCTAATCATATAAAGAGAACAGAATTAAAAAAAAAAAACAAAGTGCATTTTTCAGAACACTTTATGTCAGTAAGAGAGCTGTAACACAGAATCACAGAAGGTTGGGGATTGGAAGGGACCTCAAAAAATCATCCAGTCCAATCCCCCTGCCAGAGTAGGAACCTCAATGAGATCACACAGGAAGGTGTCCAGGCAGGTCTTGAATGTCTCCAGAGAAGGAGACTCCACTCCCTCCCTGGGCAGCCTGTCCCAGGGCTCCAACACCCTCACTGGAAAGAAGTTTCTTCTCAAGTTTAAGCAGAACCTCCTGTGTTCCAGCTCACACCCATTGCCCCTTGTCCTACCATTGGGCATCACTGAGAAGAGCCTGGCTCCATCCTCCTGACATTCACCCTTAACATATTTATAAACATTAATGAGGTCACCCCTCAGTCTCCTCTTCTCCAAGCTAAAGAGCCCCAGCTCCCTCAGCCTTTCCTCAGCAGGGAGATGCTCCACTCCCTTCATCTTGGTGGCTCCTGCTGCCCACCAGGACCCCCAGATCCCTTTCCCCTACAACACATGGCAGTTGAAGTCAAAAGATGAGATTTTTGCTAAGAGGGTTAATAGTCCTTGGAGTGGGATGCTGCAAGTGACAGTCCCAACAGTGGTACATGGCCATCTGTCTTGGTTTTTGCTAGGAAAGGGTTAATTTTCTCCTTAGCAGCAAGGAAGCACTGTGTTTTGGTTTCAGGGAGGATTGTTATGAGAACAATGTCCATAACTACAAGGACACTGAGCTTGGGCAGTTTCCAGGAGCAGAGGACTGGAAGGGGGAGTGGAGAAGAAAAGTGCAGTAGTCAGTAAAACTCAGAATGGGCAGTTGGATGTGCCAGTCAGATATTCCATGTCACGTCACCTCATGTTTAGGGTATTA